TTTGATTGAATATAACTGCCTTTTTGTGACCAAATATTGTTTTTTTGCAAAGTCCATCAAAGTTGTACATGTTTCTTTGAATTTTTCAAGGCTGTTTCATTTTGTTCTTCTTCTTTTATTTAATCAGCAAATAATCAAAATATTTAAGTGTATTTTCTTATTTTTATTTATTTATTTCTTTAAAGAGATATTTTAAGACAAGTGCTATATATTTATATACAAATATGATAGTTTGTATCCTTGATGCCGTCTTCAATGATTGTAAATTTTAGATGTTTAAAATTATGCTTACGATATATTTTTGAAGCCAGATGTTTAGAGAAATGGGTCTGTCCTTTAAGATTTTCACTGGTGTTGAAGATATTCTGTAATTTTTAGTATAGGTAAATAATGTTCACAGAAATTCCTTTGAAATGTTTAGTATATAGTCTGATAAAAATATTTCTACACAATTTCTACTGCACATTAGGAAAGATTCAAAACTTAAAGGGATTGTAAAGAGGTTTTCTTCTGCGTATCAAGGACACTGATAGCATCAATTTGCACCATTCCAATTGTTAATCTGATGTCTGTGGTTCCTGCAATTCCACTAAAACTAAGAGTTTTATGACATCACCCCCATGAAATTTTCTTGTATCACATAAGACCTTTGCTGGGGTGAGGTCATAAAACACTTAGTTCAATTGAAAATTGGAATGGTGTAAATTGATGCTATCAGTGTCCCTGATACACATACAACCTTAAAAATCTCTTTACAACACCTTTAAACACAAGCAGTCCATTTAGTTTTGGTATTGGTTTGAATGAACACAAGATAAGTCTAGTTTGTACAGATTGATTGAAACGTCTGAGCATGAAATGGATTGCTTGTGTTAACATTTTGAATCATTTAAAGAGATTGTAAAGAATTTTTCTAATTTTGTATATATTTCGGGACAGCATCAATTTACGCCACTCCGTCTGTGGTTGTAGCACAGTATCAGACGTCTAATTAAAAATTGGAATGGTGCAAATTGATGCTATCAGTGTCCCTGATAAATATAAAAGAGAACCTCTTAACAAATCTCTTAAAAATGTGAAAAAATACCTACAAATTACAAAATAAAAACTGTAATATTTTTTTGGTCATAGGGCAATGGTGTACATTGTATTTTCTATGTTATATTTATGTATGTGGTTTTTTTGAAATCTAAGTAAATCCAAGATGAGTTTGAGTATTATTAAGGTCATATTTATCATTTGAAAAGGTTACGGTCATCTATATATTTGGTTAATTAACTTATGATACTCATTACAGAGAAACCTGTAGATTGAAATTTCATACTAAATAGGGATACAAAGTGATACACATGGCTGAAATTGTATGGTGGTAAAGCAGATATTACTTGGACTATATTCCAAACTGGTTCATAACGCAAATGATGTCATTCATTGATACGTCATATGAACGAATAGCCTACAGCAAGTAAATTGACTTAAAACTGCCCCTTCTCAGAAATGTGTGAAAGTCAAATTTATGTAAAAGTATCATTAAATAGTTTAATCGTTCTGGATTCAATATGGCTGACGTGTTAATAAGGTCTGTTCCGTAATTAAAATTCTACACAACATATTTTTATTACCAGAGTTTTTGAGAAACAGGTTGAATTATGAGTTTAAAATGGAATTTGTTAGTGTACAGTGATCATGTGAATCCCTGTCTTATTTATATACATCAAACAATCATTTATTTAAATCTTAACGAATCCAATTTTTGTGCCATATATTTATTAATTAGTGAACTTAAATATTGATTAATTAACTCAAATATTCATTAATTAACTCAAATATTCATTAATTAACTCAAATATTCATTAATTAACTCAAATATTCATTAATTAACTCAAATATTCATTAATTAACTCAAATATTCATTAATTAACTTTTTTGATGGAAAATGAATGTACCATATATTTGAACAAAGAAAGAGTAGGTATAGATAATGCTCCTGATACACATACAAATGCTAAGAAAAGCTTGGAAATACTGTTAATTTTGTAACGAATGTTTGTGGCCATATATTATTTTTAATTTGTCGAGACCAAAGTTCCTATTAGAAATCCATTCATTTAAATAGTAAGATTGTTTTCTTTCTGTCATTGGTTTGGTTACGTCCAGTGTAATGGTGGTTGTGTTCTAATCTTTGTTGAAATTTATCCATCCTCATTATTTAAAACAACCCAGATGCAAATCAATGCAAGAACCAGTTTGTAGGAAGAATACTTATGAACCTTATTATTATCTTTGTAAAATCATTACCAAGAGGAATGACCAAGAACCAGCTGGTAGACAGGATCGTCGTGAACTGAAGTTTTTATCCTTGTAAAATATCCATGTTTCCTTGTCTTGAATTTGTACTAGAATAGGACTAGGAAATATTCAGCTTTCACCAACCACAAAGTCTGGCACAGACTCCAACCCCCCACCACCCCCCCCCCCCCCTCTTTTTTTTTCTCCATTTGATATGATTCTTTTTCTATTATAACCCTTTATGATGGAATAAAATATTAATAATGAAACTGTTTAAAATATGATCAAATAACTTGTATAGCAAATCCATTATGTGTTGAATATTCAATTTTTTTTTTAAATACATGTATATTATTGAAAGTGTTTATTGTCTTCTAAGCTTCCAATTGATTGGCTGATAGGACTCAATAATAGCTAAAAGCAGTTTTCTAGTCAGGTTAAAAAAAGCTGATGTTGAGTTTAATCAGACATTGAAGATGGATGATAAGAAGACAGTATTCTATAATGCCCAGTGATTGACATTTTAAAATTTGGATAGGTTTCTGTTAGTAATGTTGTCTAATGTATGATATGTGAAGACCTGAGGTTTTTAGTAAGCGGATTGTAAAGAGATTTCATAAACATTTTATGTGTATCGGGGGTCACTGATAGCATCAATTTACACCATTCTAATTTTCAATCAGACGTCTATGGGTCTTGCAATTCAACGGAAACTAAGCATTTTATTACGTCATTAATCGCAAAAGCTGCTAATATATAAAACACTTAGTTCTAGTGAAATTGTAAGAACCACAGACTCTGATTGAAAATTAGAATGGTGTAAATTGATGCTATCAGTGTACCTGATACATATAAAAAGTTTACGAAAATTGTTTACAATCTCTTATAAACTTTTTACCTTTAAGTTAACAGAAACCTGTCCAATTTGCCATGTTATTATAAATTATGTAAGATAAAGAAATTGTTTAATTATTATTTTTGTTGAATTGTTTATTGTTAATTTACTAAGTAAGATAACTGACTATATCTAGTAAAGATATTTGTATATAACTGGTTATGATTCAAAACTTAAACACCAGCAGTCCATTATAGGTCACGTTTCATACTATTTATGTGTCCTTGACCCTTTTAACATGAAGTTTAGATATAATTCACAGACTCAGAACTCTATCTAATATCAACTAAAGTATATTTTAAACATTATGTGACATCACTTGGCAACTACGGCTTCACTTACCACTGGGGTTACTAATTATCACATGATTATTGGCCAGTAGAGTGATGGTGTGTTTTGTGTAAACTATAATAAACTGTTTGTGTTTATGGTTTGATCGTACCTAGAGATACACAAATATCCAGCTTGACTATAGCTGACACTAACTTGTTGATAAAAACATCTTAACTTCAAATTATGTAATTGTAACTGATATCACAAGCCTTATTTCAATTAATCTTATTAATCAACTGGGTTCAATTTAGATTAAAAAATTTGTCGAACAATTTAGCACACCAAATTTCAATTTTGGTTAATCAAGTTAAATTTTAACTCAAATTTCATAAATATTTGGTAGTAATTCAAAATATTGCTGTAATAGACTTCAGTTTGATCTTTAATTCCTTAACATTATAGAGAGTCAAAGTTGCCTAATATTTGTTAGATTGGGCAGAAAATACTCACAAAAAATATACAATCTGATTAGCAGATCGTCAACCTCTAGATGAATTTTAAATTTGGCTACTCAAAGGAAACATTGGATTGCTAAAGGGGTCATATGGACTTGCAAACTGTAATGTGATATCACTTAAATTGAACCCTGTTTATCAATGAATGAATTTATTAAGGAAAATATTGGCTGCTAAAGGGGTCATATGGACTTGCAAACTGTAATGTGATATCACTTAAATTGAACCCTGTTTATCAATGAATGAATTTATTAAGGAAAATATTGGCTGTTGGAATTTTTCCCATACCAGCATTAAGTTGTGATGTTTCTGACAACTAGCCACTGGTCAGTTGCTAGAATGATTGATGATATTCTACATATTGTATTAATAAATCATATCAGTATTTTAAAAATTAAATGTTACAGCTTTCAAATTAAAATTTTGTTTTACTTTGTAAACTATTTGTCTGCTACTGGCGTTTCTTGGAAACATTTGTTGAGAGGGCTTAGCAGGGGCCACAAAATTTTCTAGGGGGGGCCACCGGCGGCGAGGGGACTGAAGCCCATATTTGTATTCTCTTCTGGTAACTAATTGGCAACATGTTAGCAACAAGGTTTCTATCCTTCATTGTCCTAGAACTATTTCTATTTAGTTGGCTGGTAGATCAAGGGTATGATGTGTTTGCCTTAAATCTAATTTGAAAAAGGTGGCTTTTTCATAAGAAGAGAAAGAAGGTACAGGACACTCTACTGTAAACCTGTTAATTCTCATTAACAACACAACAGTAGTGTGAAGAATTTGTTATTAAATTTGTGGTCTGTAGTGTTCAGCTGTCAAATTAACTCCCCTGATCAGCGTATTGATATGTCAAGCCTTTTATTTATTAATAGATTTCATTTCATTTTATTCACCATTCTTACATATTTTCGATGTCTCTTTTTATTTTGTTTTCATTGAAAATTCATGGTATATTTTGACTGTATACGACCAATCGTGTGTACCGAAAGAACTATTTTAAAAGCGGACTGATCCGTTACTGTGAGTGATGCGGTGTAAACAACATGGCTGCCGAAATCATTAATAATCTATTAATCGGCACGAAAGTGGAATTTTTATAGATTTAAAATGCAATCAGATATTAATTGAAAAAGATAACAACATATATTGGTATAATTGGCTTATTTAGTTATGTCTGTTGTGTTTTTGTATCGTCTTTGTTAGTTTTTACACTGCAGTTGGGTGTAACAATCACAATGATAATAAAATTAAAAATATACAAGTAAAAAAAACTGGCCTTGACTTCTTGAGTAGTGAAGTCAACTTTGAAGTGATAGCTCACTTGACTAGACGTATTTATTGTTAATGTTGTGTCTACCTTATATTTCTAATGATACTTCTGGTAATAATTCTATTGTTAATGCTAATTTAACATCCTATTTCATTCATTTTAAGTTTGGTTAAACATAGAACAGAAACCAAAGAATGTAGTTCTATTATTTAAAACAAAGTTTCTCTACCAACTGTTCGTGCCATCATTAAGGAACCTATTTTCAAGAATATCAGAATGGAGTGGAATCAGGATTCTAAGAATGTCTGGAACAGACGCCACTCTGAGGGACAGTCCAATAGAATTAATAAAAATGTGGAGATTTTAAAATCAAGAGGAAGGCCAATAAAAATGTATGAGGTAAGAAGCAGGGATTTTGATTTATTTTGTTGCCAATCGGAAATTTTTCAAGGACTTAAAATGAACCTATTTACATTCGTAATCTGTTTGTCCAATTGAACCATGGCCACAAACAAACTATTTTTTACAAGGCAAACGACAGTCTGTTGAAAAGGGACTGTGTAACTCAGGTTTCTCCAGTGTTTAGCATCTTATGATATGATTTTAGTTAGTTTTCTTGTTGAATATTTTTTCAGACGGAGCCATTTTTATCAGTAGATTTATTACCAGTTAATAAAATCTGTATTTCACCCACACCAACCTGTAAGTAAAGCTCTTCATTATCTGAGTAAAGCGAAAAAAGTTTTTTGAATTTTTTCTATATTTTTTAAGAGAATTGGAATATCAACCTACCAATAGTCTTCTTTATTAGATTTTACATTGATAAAAATATAATATTTTGTAAGTTGAAATTGAAAAGATATACATTTCTCACCTAGAAATTTCAACCCAAAAAAGTTCAAAATTTTGGCTGAAAATTGTCCTCTGTAAAAACAAATTTTGAATACATAATGTGTGCTTATGTTTATATTTTTATCAAAGCGTAGATATTCTAAGACTAAAGGTGCTATTTAAAGGCAACTTTTCTAATTCTCATAAAATTAATGTAAATATTTCAATGTTTTTTCAGTGTGATCATGAATTATAGAGCTCATAAAAAACCTCTGTCACTGTTTGAGCACTTGTGTTTTATCTATTGACTTTATACTTGAAATATTAACTGTGTGTTTATCTTGTTCTCTAAATAGTAAAATATAATATTGAATTACAAACATTTAAATATACTCTTGCATTTTACAATATTTAAACAGCTATGTCTATTTGCTGAGATTAAACAATTGAATATTTATGTTGTAAGCAAGAATAAAATGAACAAGCCAAGCATAATACTAGTGCAATGGTATTTCTATGGGAGGTCAGTTTAGGAGGGGTCATCATCGAGCTCTTAAATCTCTGGTCTTGTGCCCACCTCTTGACCCCTACTCAGTCTTTCCACCTAATAATGTATATAAATGCCAATGTTCAATATCTGTACAAACAGTGAGTCTTGGTTATTGTCTGTAATAACTTGGCAGGTATGGTTTTAGTGACAAAATTGAATCCATAATTTCTATGGAATGCAAAGATTTATATTCAATGTTTCATTTGTTCGAATTAAAGACTTAGAAAATAAGGTAATACATGGTATAATGAATCTAATTTAAAATTGACTGATACACAAACTTCAAGAATAAGGCCTGGGATGTATAAGCTACAGAGATATAACATCTATAGGCTTGTGACCTATCATTTAGTGAACATCATTTGTATTGCTGTTTCTCTGCACAGTTCTATTTCTTTTTTCACAGTGGCAGCAGATAAACCTAAAATGTCACTGGGCATGCTTAAATCACAAACTTTCCACAGCACCACTAGCAGCAAGTCTTTACCAGTTGATAACATCACAAAATCAAAGAATATATCCAAAAGGTGCACTGAGTTTTGTTTTTAGTAGTTTATACCTTGCACTTAAAGTGGCAGTTCCAGATGGATATTTCATTAATCCTTTTAGTGACATTTAGAGGTGGATATCACTGATCTTTTTGAAGGCATTATTACTCCTCCAGGGGTTTTATTGTACATGTTTCAACATCTATCTGGAGCTGTCACTTTAATAATCACTGTTTTCTCAGCACCATGTCTTAAAGTGAATCTTGTCTGATTATAAACAACCTCACAACAGTTACTTATTCACAAGCATACCTAATTTTTATTGCACTTGAATTTTCCCTCATTCCACACTGCATGGCATTGATCATCTCCATTAGCCCAAACTGGAGCAGATTAGTAGGACATTAAACTCTTCATATTTCATTAATTTTTTATTACATTATACTTGTGTGACATTTGCTCAAACTGGAACAGAAAAGAAGGATATTTTGATTTAAATTTCATTTTGTTGGTTAACATTGTCTGTCTTCATTAACTTAAGCTCGAGCAGAAAAGTAAGACATAAATTTCATTTTGTTTTATTTTGTTGTACAGTTTTACCTTTCTCTATTAGCCCAAACAGAACTATTTATTTCGTTACATTTCATTACATGCTCTTGCCCATCTTGGTCGTTTTTATGAGCACAAACTGAGGCCGAATATTCATTCCTTATTTTATTCAATTTCATTTTATCACAGGTCATCATTGTCGTCTGCTAGAAGTGGAAGGTCAAACCAGACTAGTGTTAGTGGTATTGAAAGATCCAACTCTAATTTACATATAAAACAACCATTTAAACATTCTGTTGTTAATACACCAAATAATACTCCTACTGTAAGATATATTGTTTTATTAATAATCAAGATCAATTTACAGTGGCGTTACAGGAAGTAAATTGTGGGCCATGGCCCCTCCCACCCTCTGGCCATTAAAAATGAAAAATTTATTCTACTTTCACTTCCAAAATCGTGTTAGATGTATTCTCCGGCTTCTCACAATAGAAAATTTTCCAGGGGCCGGCCCTCTGACCTCAGCAGTATAGCTGGTGCCCTCTAAAATTTGTAAAGATGTCAGGGCGCTCAGGTGGCCCCCAGTCAATGAAATTGCCACTGCCTATTTAAAACTTTTATCTGTTTTATTCTAAATTGACTAAATCTTATACAGGGAAGAAATTCAGCTTTGAGTTTGTAAAATATATTATAGTGTATTAAAGTCAGATAGAAGTAGAAAGATTACATTAGCACACAAAGATATATGGTTATATAATAAATAAACTCAGATGTAGTATATCCATATATTTTGTGATCCATATCTTACTAAGATCAAGTAATATTATACTGAGTTCAATGGTGGCCATGTTTACTAGTACTGTTTCCAGATTATCACATGGTTTTTTACTTTTATTGAGTTCAAAGATAATGCGAAATAAATTCTTGATCTTAGTAAGATATGGATCCAAGATGATTAAGAAATGTATAAATTAGTTAACAGATAGTCCTAATATAGTATTAAATGAATTGGAGAGATTCAGAACTATCCCAAAATGAATCAAAAACTATGAACTATATTCACATCCCCATATTAACTTCACATGAAAATTCATAGGTAAAATACCTGAGGTATATTGAAATTGTACAGTTAAAATCAGACTTTATAACTTACTATTCTTTATTCAGGATGAATTATCGAATCCGTCCCGTCTAATGAAAGCTAGAACCAAACTAGCTACAAGTCATATGAATAAAGTTTTATTAAAACAGAGACAGAAAGACGATGTTAGAACTAAAGGGAAATTACTCAAGGGAAAGTAAGTAGACAACATGTTCAATAAGTTCCCTTAACTCATATTTTTATAGGTAAAGTACATTTTGAGTTTACTTACTTTGCTTATAAGTCGAATATTGGAAGGTCAACCTAAATTTCCAAACTTAACGTCCTGGGTTGTGTATCTGAAATATTTGTTGGCAGCTTGAGATGATCTCTAGTCAATAAGACTGTTGCTCTGAAATTTTTCAAAAGGGCTTCTTGTACATTTAATACAGTGCTGAACAGTTTTTACACCTTGAGATTCTATTTGTTTCACCCCTGTGAATGATAAGAGGTTACGAGGAAACCAAAAGTTAGGGAACCATGCTGCTATGAATGTATGTCATCATTAATTTCAGATTAAAGCCACTATATCCAGTAAAGAACGATGGTCCTACCATGGAGCACTGTCGAGGTGTTGTCTCAGGTAGGGCTCAGAAATCACGAATCTGACGCAAATACAAGCAAATACACACATGAAATGATTCAATTGTTATCATAATCTGATTGGTTAATCACTAGAATTTATTTTTATTGATACATGAGAACCTAACCACTCCTTTAAAAAAGAAACAGAAAATAGAATGTCTTCACGGACTGGTCCACTGCACTGTAGGCTTCAGTCTTATTTTAGATTTGTATGTCTAAGATGCTGAAAGATTATTATGGATTTCTTGCTTGCCTTTTACATGTCAAACGCTATTCCATTAAGTACAGTGGGTTTGAATCCTCCTCTAGATATGAAAGGTTGGTACAGAGTTTGAAAATGCTAATATGGATTTTTTCCAAGGTTGTTGATGTTATATAGGCCTACCATGAAAAAAAAATATTAATTTTTAATCATGTTTATAAAGTATTACAAGTTACATGCCGAATTGTATGGCATGTAACAATGTTTAAAAATAATAAATAAGGAAAGTTTATGCAAGTTCGATAATCTTGGTATTTTTTAGATGTTACAAGTCATGATCCAAGCCCGAGTCGTACGTTACAGAGGAGACGTAGAATAGTATCAAACTATAATAATGGTACACTACACAAGTTAATGGACCGTCCCCTAACAGTAGAATCTATTCACCAAACTTCTGAGGTTTCCAGTGTAGATGGTACCATAGACTTTAATCAACATAACTCTTTGTAAGTAAACAAGTTATATCTGATGATATTTATTATGATGTAGACATGTATAATGAAAGATGTAACCAGTGGTATATATAGGGATTGGGCCTTTTTGGAGACTGTATACTAGACATTATACTACTGGTATTCTGAATGCGGCAAATTGCAACCTTCAATCCCACCTTTGACACTATGTATATAATGTTCAAGAAATTTCTTAAAACAATTGTTTTTTATTTATCAAAATAACAAGAATTGAAAGTTATAAAGATATTTTGTTGTTTTATTACAGAAATAGCAGTGTAGATGAAGATATAGAAACACAAATACAAACTAATAATGTATTACTAGATACAGGTCAGTACAGTTGATTATAAAAATGTACCAAAATTACATTGTGGACTCTCCAAAAGGGATGTCAAGTTAAACAAACCCAGTCACTTACTACATCAATAACAGTTCTTACTTTGATGTAGCTTATAGCTGAAAGGAAAAAAGCAGTGGCGGAGCTAGGTTTACGTCCCAGGGGGGGACGAGATATCTGAGGTTGTCCGAATTTCTAACTTAGTTATGAGAGTTTTGCAAACTCTTTGAGAGAAACACTATTGTTATTCGGTAGAGTATTTTCACTCTTTGTCGTACAATATTTATTGAAAAAAATTGAAATCTGTGCCCGAATTGCCTTTTTTTTGGTTGTGTAAAAAAAGTTCTAAACTCTACTTTCGGGCTGCGATTTCAATTTTTGAAATATGTAAAATATAATACTACGAATGACATTCGGGCAGTGATTTCGATCCTAAATAATATGAATTATGAAATATTATTATAGGAGAATACTATCGGGCTATCAATTTAAAAAAATACAGTTATAGTATAGGATATTCAGGCAAAGATATGATTTCATTTTTAAATTCCAAAAAAAAAAAAAAAAAATCGGGCCGTTCAAAAAAAAATTTTTTTTAATGCCTCGCCCGAAAAACTAGTCTTCGGGCTGCGAAGCCCCCTTTGGCTCCTCCACGGGAAAAAAGATCATGAATTTGATGTCTCAGTGTTGATTCTTCTGGAAATAAGTTATTCAATAGTTTTGCAGAGAGATTTCTTTGTTTTTTTATTGTTGAAAGAAGATTCAAATTTAAAATGACAATATCGTGCATATTTCAGATGCTTCACCGACGGACAAAAGCTCAGACATTGTGAAGTTAGCTACAGCAAATGATTTGAATGTCAGAGAAAATTCAGATGAAGTAGATAATAAAAAAGATACAGTTCTTGAGCAAAAAATCCAAGAAAAAAATGGTGCAGGGAGTCTTTATATTGATAATGCTAATACTCAATTTGGCCATGACACAGTTGGCGATGGTGGTGTCAACGGTGTTGATACACGGGCAGATGATATTAATTCTGCTTTTGGTGGTGATAACTCAACAGGACTTGTCTCAAACAGTGATCTCAAAATTAAAAATGACTCGAATTCACGTCCCAAATCTACGCATATCTCAAAATCTGATATTAGCCAAAAACATGGACATGTGTCTGCACCAGCAGTTCTTAAAAAACCAGGATCCCCTGAGGACAAGGCTAAGAAAGCATTAACCGAAAGTGGACACACGTCAAAGACTTTTTCAAGCCAGAATAGTGTTGAAGCAAGTCATCCAAAAATAAAATCTCAAAGGGCATTTTCTGATCTCAGAACAGTCTCGCCAAAACAAACCAAGAAGGCCACTCCTTCTCCTAAACGCCATTCGAAAGAATTATCATTTGAGTTCAAAACACAAATGCAACGCAGACCTCTTAGTGCTGTTACTCAAAGAGAAAGTGTTCAAGTAGAACCCAAAAAAGAACGACCTAAAAGTGCTAGTTCTTTAAAAACGGAAAAAAGCGGGCATCCAAAAAGTGTTCGATTCGCTGATGAGCTAACTCAAGATTTTCCGATCTCAAATAATTGGATGAATGATGTCTCTCCCCGCCATCATGTGACGGTTAATATTTATTATCGTGAACCAGAAGTGGCACCAGTCAGCGAACCCACCTCAGCCAATAAACGCAGTGTGTTTGAAACGGAGGACAGGGAAGATGATGACGATGATGATGATGAAGATGAGGAGGTAAAACTCCAGTCCAAATCCTCCTGTAAACCGAATGATGAGTCTAAAAATCCTGAGAGTGAAGATGATGCAGATGGAAAGGAGGACAAGGAAAATTGGAAACCGAAACAGTCTGAAAAATTATCATCAACGAATTCCAAAAGTTCACCTGAAGCCTTCACTCAAGGAGAGTCTTCTTCTGTTCAAGAAAGTGATATCAAACCACAGAATGATCCTGAAGCTTCTTCAAATGGACAGAAAGAGCTCAAAGATGTAGAATTTTCCAGAGATGAAAAGAAAGGCCAAAACAAATCTGAAACTTGCTCAGTTGACGACTCAAAAGATTCTAAAACTTCCCAAATTGTCAAACAGAAAGGTTCAACTGAAGATTCAAGGGATGTTCTTCCCACAGACCTGGATACCTCTTTCACCAATGCCAGTGCCAGTGATGTGGACAGCTTGCAGTATGATGGTGACGTATCCACAATTTCATTGGAGTCCGAAAATACAGAAATCTCTCAAAATTCAGACAGATCAAAATCGAGTTTAGGTTTCTTGCAAGAAATAATGGAAACTCCTCCAGAAAATTTTGATTCCAAAGTTCTAGATGTGGTCATGAATGCCAACTCTCCTCAAGTGTCTGAGGATGACCCTTTTTACCTCTCCATTGAAGAGGCGGAATTCATTGAAGAGATCTGCGACCTTACCAATATGGATTCGCCTGTATATATGGTTGATCCAGAATTTAACAAGAACATGCCCAAAGTAAAACGTAACTCGGGTAGAAAAATTTATGATAGATTTCAACATAAACATGTTCGAATGTCAAGAAGACCACAGTCAGCTGGTAACCTACGGCGACCACCAACACGCCAGCTTCCAGTTCGGCCTTCATCAGCAGGACCTGATTATCGTAAGAAATTATTCGGAGTTTATTGTGCCATGTGTAAACATCAACAAAAATTCTGCCGCTGTAAATTACAGAAACACAGCATTTTTTTTGAAAACCTGTACAGAGCATCATCAGAGAGTTCTATACCATCATCCATTCCATCCATAGAACTCCTTCCAGAGAAATCCATTCTGAAAACTCCGTCCTCGGAAACGGACAAGAAAGATTCACAAGATGATGAGGAAAGTTTGGATTTGGACAGAATTTCCATCCATGAAGGTGAAGAATCAAATTCGGAAGATTTAGATTCGTTTATTGGAGGAGAATCTTTTGAAGCTTTAGAGGAACAGTTACAAAATATCAAGAAAGAATTACAACGTGAAATCGGCATCGAAGAAGACAAAATTAAAAAAGTAGAATTTTTGGACGATATTGAAGAATTTTCCGACACTGGATTCTCGGAAACTGACCCTGATGAACAATTTGTGCCAGATTACGAAATAATGCTGGATTTTTATCGTCAAAAATGTTTGGATCAAGGAAACGTCTGCCTACAACTCAGTAAACATATCATGTCTAAGAATAAACAAGTGCTATTAACAGATGTAGTTACCTCCCCTATCCAATGTTTGAACGGTATCTACAATTCTAAATCATCTCTACACAAATCTCTGAAATACTCTACGCAGATAACAGAGCCTGTTCTGAAACAAGAATTAAATAATCTGGCTTCTGGCTGCTTTCTACAATATGTTTGTGATTTCTTACCTGAAGTTGGCAAAGAAGCGGTAAGTTTCAGTCTTGTTTCTTCTAACCAAGATATCCCAGCTCTTCCTTTGTGTACAGGCCCCAGGGACACAAAGCATTTCTCACGTTCAGTTTAGTTTTTACTCTAATTCATAATGCCCCTCGCATCAAGAAAAGGTAAAATTTTAAGATTAATGTGATAATGCCAGAAACAATCAATTATGCACCTGTAGTAACTGTTTCAAATTTGAGTAAAATCTCAGCTAAGTATAAAAAAAGGTTTGTGTCCCCTGGGCCTGGACTAGGAAATGATAGTCTTGTTAAACCTTTATAAAGTTTTTATGTAGCTTTGTATAGAGTACCAGGTTTCATTACAGGTGCAGTAACGCCTGTACAAAGTTTTAAGTTATTTTAGTCCCTATAGTGATTATCAAATCATGTAAAATAGAATTTAGAAGTTAATTTTCATGTTTCTATTTCAGAAAAGTGCTGAAGACAAAGGATGTAGATCTAGAAGGTAAGTCACATTTCTGTTTGTATATTCCTAATTTTTCATCACAAGATGTTTTTCAAATTTATTGATAAAATGGTCGAAGCATTGCTCAAAGTAAACAAGTAGATGTGACGAGTTCGCTTGTGTTTCTTAAAAATAACATCAAAGACACAGTGTGAGGGGTGACATCTGAACACATCGATAAATTGTAATTGAATATTTTAATCTCAGAATATCTTCTGGCCATTTGTCGGATGGAAGGTTCCTGCCAAACATTTTACCATTTTGTAATTTATTTGTAGAGAGAGTGATAGTAGTAGTGGTATTGGACTAGAAATTGTGGCCACAAGGAAGGAAATATTCTCACCTACTGGACAGTAAGTTAGTTATTATTTGCCCCTCCCCTAGAGACAGATTGCCCTGGGGGAGACCTGACACTCACTCTTTACAGATTGGAGAGGCTTTGATAGTTTAGATACCCAACAACTAAAAATCAGAGAAGAGAAGGTTCTCCACTGCTGTCAACAAACAATTTATATCATTGCACACAGAGCTATTCTGCTACGTCAAAACGTAAATTGCTCATTTTCAATAGAGAAAATATAGGCATTAAACAGAACTTTAGAACTACGTTATTTTATATCTTATAGAAGTTTAGATGAAGATAAAGCTGTCCCATTTGCTCCATTATGTTTTACAATCAACGCTAGACCACCAGCAGGATATTTATACTATTTTGCTTATGGTACAGATTTAAACCATGAAAGGTTGGTATTTTTATTTAAAAGGGATTATAGAATGGTTTGTTTCAATTTGAACCATTTCAATCTTTTGTCGGACGTCTGTGCTTCTCCACTTAATGTGCAATTCCTCTTAAACTAAATGTTTTATGGTATCACTATCATATAAACTGCTATTTATCTGAAATACATGTTGGTAGCATGAGATGAGCTCCAGTCAATTAGCTACCATAAGTCCTTAATTAGAAAGTTAACCTCCATTTCTAACTTTAAAAGTTTGATATCAATAGTGTAAACAACTTTGTTGTGTCCCACAATTTCTTTGTCCTTGAGCCCTAATCAATTTGAATTGTATTCAGAAAATAAAAAACACAAACTTTGTTGTGTTCAATAATTTTTTCGACATTTAATATCCATTTGTGTATGATGTTATTTTTCAGATTAGGAATGTATATCCGTAGAAAGATAGAGATTAAACGATGGGGAGTTTTATTTGGATTCAACATGCTCTTCAATAAAAAAGGTAGCTTTTATAGCAATCATATTGATATAAAGAATGCATTTGTGGAAGAGCTCAATAGAGAAGTTTCAATAGAATGATGAAGGGTGTCAAATAGATGACAAAAACACTATATCCAGCTTTACTTGCTGTTTATTATCAAAAGAAAATTTTAAATTTTTGGCATGAAATTACCCTTTATAAATACGAAATGATACTATGTATTTGTTCCCGAAGTTGATTGACCAATTAGGTCGCTGGAGCATTTTATTCATCTTAAGTTAACTTTAAAGAATAATGGCCCTGTTCCATAAAAAAAATCTTACCATAAGAATGTATCGTAAGTCATAGAATTTTACATTGAGAATATAATATTCATGACAAACTTTATCATCAGATTTCTTGTGGAACTGGGCCAGTACCCATTGTTCCAAGGATTTAAACAATAGTAATATATTTTACAGGAGTAGATGAGGAAGATGGTATAGGATTCCCTAATATAGAGTTTAACCCTTTCTCCTCCGTGGAAGGGTGTGTTTATGAACTGAGTAATAGTGAACTACATTTATTAGATAGCTGCGTTGGTTTTCCCGAGGTCTGTAGCTTGAGAAATATTATAATATTTGCATTTAAATTTACATGCGGCAAAGGGCACTAGTCATGGTGGAGGGTCAGTGGGGACCTCCCTCGAAACTTTTCTAATCTAGGAAGGCGGAGAATACATCTAACATGATTTTGGTAACGAAAGTTGTGAAGCTGTGGCTCCCCCTAAATACGCCTCTGGTCTTAGTCATTTTGCTATGATTTTCAGTCCTCCTAACATACATGTAGATTGTAATGATTATAAATTCATGGAAAATTATTCATTTGTGCTATATCCAATATCAACAAATTGCACCAAATAAGGATATAAAATTCCATCTTCTTTTTAATTTTTAATTTTTTTTTTTATATATTTATAGCATTATGAACATATAGTGGTACCGGTATGGATGACTGGAGGTTCAAGTCTAATAGAAGAAGATAAAGGTGATGAAAGACTGGATGATTGTGTGGCTCAGTATTGTGTTCCTGCATTGACTTATATAGCACATGATCAGTGGGTCGATAGTGGTAAGTTAGTGAATAATTTGATTGCTCTAGTAAAAAATCCAGCAAAAATTTGACCATGATGTCATTATTGCAAATACCATTGAGCTTGGAAAAGTCTTTATTTGAATAAGGCAATAAATCAGGACCCTGCCTGCTACAATCTGCTGTTCTAATGAAAGATCCCTTGGAAAATCAAAAAAGTAAAAAACTTAAGCCCCTGTCCTGACAAAATTTCCTCATTGAACACACTCTAAACTGAACATGAAATAAATGGAAATAAAAACAGAAACTGCAGATGAGCAAGCTTCCGCCCCCAAATAACCCTCAATCCATCACCCCCCTTCACTTTCAAATAACTTATCATAAATAGGGACAGAATTGTTTATGACCCCTCTTCTGTGGTCCCTACACAGCCTCCTCGCCTTATAAGAAATGCCACTGTGTAGAACTCTATTTAATTTCTCTATATTTCAGAGAAGATGTTACCGTGTGATTTCTCTTTATCTCAGTGTTTGAAAGGAAGTGATGTACTGTCTCCTTCCTACATACAATATCTTAACAGAATAGCTGAATCTACACAGATTTAAATAACAGTAGGGGGTAATGAACAGATCATATTTACCAGCTTGTACAAGGTCTAACCTTTTGGCTTGGGGAAAGAAAGCAAGACTGTAATTTTACACGGATCCTGAGCCAGCTTATCCTTTGTTAAACCTTTGGAAATATAACCTGAATTGGCTGTGTTCGTGTATGCGCAAACAGAATCCTACCAATGCAATCCATGGATGTCCACCAGCATGTCCTCTCTGATAACCCATCTTCATATACTACTGTGTTGTTTGGAATAAAGACCAAATACAGCCTGTGATCCACCATTTAAAATGGATGTATCAGCTTCAAGACTTTTTATTTACCTAATGATTATATTGTACATAGTTTCACATGATCTCATATTTAGAAAAGCGAAGGCTTTGTGATTTGTTGATGAAATTCTTCAAAAAATTTGTGTCAAATATTGCATTATCAGTTATAGATTATTATGCATATTCAGAGACGTTTCCTCACATAAGTAAAGAACAGTCTACTCTGTTTCAAGGCAAGGCTTAACAAGTGGTATTAACATCTGTATATGTCACATAGACATTATGTCCAATGCCACCTATTTTACCTCTAAATGAACTATTTAGAAGAGTTCCTGGATGTGCATAATTAATCTTGACCTATATTTATAGAAACATTATGTGATGTTATCGTGCAAACATATTTGTGATCATCCTCGGCAGATCAAAAGATTAACACATAAACAGTCCATTTAGTTTTGGGTAGAAATTATATTAAGCTTAAAGAATGAATAGTTTCTGAAACTTTACAAGTCAGACTTATATTGAGTTCAATACAACTTGAAATTCCATGGACTGCTTATATTTTTATGTTATGAATCGTGCCTGAATGTACATCTTTATTGGTCAGTACTTGTTAAGTTTAGTCTATATTGTTGTTAAAACCTTAGACCCTAGCTAGCTGTGATATATAATAATATTTTAGTCTCATGACAGGAAATGTTTATATTTTTCTTAGATTTTGTTAAATTTAAAAGCTATGACAGATTATTAGATAGGGAAGACTTGTTTTATGTAGGGCCTAATAGTTTATCATTAAACCCAAGACCTTAGCTAGCTGTGATATAAGCTTATAATATTATTTTAGACAGGAAATTTTCTTAGATTTTTCTTTGATTTAAAAGATATGAAAGCTGATAATAATCAGTGATCATTGAGAGAAAACTTGTTTAATGGAACGACTTATAGTATACTGCTGATAGTCTAGTTGATTTGGAACGACTTATACTGCTGATAGTCTAGTTGATTTGGAACACCTTATAGTATACTGCTGATAGTCTAGTTGATTCTTCACTTCCTCCAAAACTTGTTAACTCTTATCCAGACAGTAAATGAAAGTGATGAAAGATAGATTGGATAGTCTCCCTTTTTAATAGAAGGAGACAAGGTCTATTCCAATGAGATTATTTGGAATTTTCCAATTTTGTTAGATTTTTATTATAATATTTACTAGTCTAGTCAGCTTAATAATATATTTTATAATTAATGGAGATTTATTATGTAGTAGAAATTAAAATTTGCTTCATTTGTTAATTTTCTTTAATAGACTTTAAGTTCAACTAAATTCAGCTTAGGTGGACTAGTGATTCAAAAAGGGTTCCTGTTGTTAAATTAGCAACTTGCTTACAACAGCAATCAACTGGATGGTGGCAAATTCAACCTTGGTCAACTGTCAAATTTAAATATTGCTAGAAAGTAAGACATGCGCAAACATTAACTTGAAACTGGTGGAAAATGCATTTTTTCATTTTTTGGGAGCACAGTTTTACTCAATTCATTGATTGATAAGATTTTCAAAGATGCCACCACAAGCATATGTTGAAAATTGAGATTCTCCCAGTCATAAAGTCAACATGAGCAAAAAGGGTTTGTAAATATGAAACCAAATTATAGCCTCAAAGGTTTTGACAGTCCCGTCGTGAGGGTGGGATCCGTGAGGGCTGCTCCCCAGCAAGGCAAAATTCAGCCAGAGCAAAATCACCTTCATTTCAGCAGAGATTGATTTATTTAGTGTCTTTGTACAAAATCATAAAGATATAGATTTTAATATGTTTTGAGTACAAAATCTGAGCCCTAGCACCAATTCATTCCTGGCAGCAGGGCTGGGTTTAGATTATTCCAAACCATTAAAACATACTGGCCAGGAATGATAGCTGTTGTTCACATTGTATCATATTACTGAAAACAAGCATTTACAAACAAGAATTTACAATTTAACACAATAAGTCTTTAGGAACAAGTGACATGACATGAGTTCACAAAGGTTTTGAAACAAATTTTAATTAACAAATAAAGTGTTCTATCTTAAATATGTTTTATTTTTTCATTGGATGAATGATATATATGGTAAAATTGTGGTTTGGTTTTCCCTATTTGATTAAAAGACTGATTGGTACTTGCTGACTTTTTTTCATAACTTTGTTGAAACTTATAGGTTAGAGTGTGTTAAACTGCTGTAAATGAGAATTTTTCAACAAAGCATGTTATTTTTTAATCTTGAACAACTACTAATAAATATTTATGGCGCATGGTGAAGAGTTTAATGCATAAATTATTATTTTTGTGTGAACTTATGATTTTTTTTTTATTTCGTTGCCTTAAATGTTAGTTTACATTTGTACGTAACCGGTTTCGTACAAATTTATAAATGATAACGGAACGAAGTGACAGTAACTAGTACGGTGTAAATCAAATCCATAGAACAACAGTATTGTTAATTAAGAACGTCAAAATATAAGGTAAGTAACAACTATTTGTGGGCTTCGAACGATTTGCTTTCACGATTAGCACCATTCCATTTAGGACTGTAGACTTCAAAGAAAGAATTCCTTATTTGTTTGTTGACAAGTTTGAAGTGTACTACAACATTATTATTATTATATTTCCTCATTGGTGTTCTTCTCATTCACCTGATAATGACAATGTAATTTGTTGGAACATTGAGTACAATAAACCCAGCAGTAGTAGCCCTACATGTGAACCATAAAATCGTGTTCCATTATTTAATCTGATTTCTACCCCTAAATATCACTCTTTGACTAACTGTTTTCTGAATTGAAATTTGAAAATCTTTATCATGTGAATTGAAACATCAAATACAAAATACTACTGAGAGACTTAGAGAGACTTGGGTTGATGTAAATGTTAAACACTGAAAAAAATATTAATTGTAAAAATGATTTTACAGAGGGGAATTGTCAGACCGAAAAGTGTAAGTCATTTTCATGTGAATTTTCTGGAGGGAAGTGTGTCTATTTTAAATGTAAAATCACTGGACCTAATATTATATGGACCTGAAGGCATTCTAAGACAAATGACATACGATTGAAAATTATATTTTGAATATTTATGAAACGAGAGCAAAAATTCAATTCAGAGTTCAATGTAGTCAGACAGTAAGGATTATACATTACAAGAGTATCATTGGATTTTTTTTGCCCTCTTTAACAGGAAATATATTATCTTGTTTAACTGACTTGAGTCAATTGCAAGGGTTATCAGAGCTATAAATGATAAAGCATGTCTGATTATATGATTTATTGACGGTCACGTAAGCTGATATGATATTAGGCCACCATAGACTAGTTTTTCTGTCTCCGTACCAGCCCACAACTTTCAAAATAGCTATCAGAGGCTGGAATAGAGGCAGATGTCTCAGTCTAGGCATACTGATATTAGGCCACCATAGCCTAGTTTTTCTGTCTCCGTACCAGCCCACAACTTTCAAAATAGCTATCAGAGGCTGGAATAGAGGCAGATGTCTCAGTCTAGGCATACTGATTCTAGACTTTATCCTTAATCTTGATAGGCTAGGAAAAAACATTAACAATTATTTTATATCTTCTTATATAGGAAAAACCGAACCAAAGGTGGCCTATGCTTATATCATTGACATATTAGTTAATTTCTAATTTAGAAATATTAAAAACAGAACTTGAATCATGAAGTACATTTAACTTTTTGTACGTATGTTAACACTAAATGTAGTATGAAAGTCATGTAACAACCAACGTGTTTTAATATTTCTAGTTCTATATCACTCTACAGTTGTATTGAGCACTATTTTAACAGAGAAAGTATTTTGTTATTTTCATTGTCATTGTAGGTCTATAATAGAAACTGTTGAAGATTAACCATGGGAAGTAAACCTCCAGAGACGAATGTAATAAATTCCAACAAGACAGTCGTGGTAACAGGTAAGTTGGATTGTTTTTCAACTAATACTGATCCTTTGGTTGTTAGTAAACACACGATATCAAATACGGACTGTTTTTGGTACAGGTAACAGAAATACTAAATAATGGACTCTCCTGAAATGGATTCTGAGTTGACAAATTCAAAGAAATAGTCTGGAGTAATTCAAATTGCCCCACTTCAAGATTCGCAACTGTTGGAAATTGCCACTGCCCTGACAAATTGGCTTTCATTGCACACTACATCATGTAGGAAAACATTGTTAGCCCAAGCACTCCATGATACCATATCTATTTGAGAATTATTATTATTTTGTAGGATTTGGACCATTCAGTGGCCATGACGTTAATGCTAGTTGGGAATCAGTGAAAGAATTAAAGCAACTAGGATTAGGAGAGAATATCAAGCTAGTTATACAAGAATTACCAGTAGAATACGAATCGGCTCAAAAACTTATACCTCAATTATGGCAGACCAACAACCCTGATGTAAGTCTTTTTGATCATAACTATCGTGTACTTGCCTCTTAGAACACTGAGGACAGGGGCCACTTCCAGAACATTTTGACATGCTCTTATGCAGTTATTTCTAAATATCTTAATATTATTAGCAACAATCTTAACTGGCACAGTCTGCTATTGGGCATCTGAAGAAGAACCTAATAAAAGAAATTGCATTAAATAGTGAAAAAAAAGGTACGCGAAAAATTTAGCTCAAAGCAAATATTGAGCTCAATTATCTGGTAAGGCAAATATTGAGACATTTGACAGCTGTCCTTATAGGAAGGGATATAACTCTAGTTATGGAATGGCATGTTTCAACTATCCGGATTTTCATTAAACAGCACAATTTTATTGGGAACGGGAATGTGCGGATAAACGAGGCTCCACTGTATATCCATTTGAGTAATAAGTTTCTCTTGTGTTCTGTGTACATGGCATCTCACATCAACGAAGATGACTGTGCTAAAATGGTACTTGATCAAATTCTCATATAATCTCCCTTGAGTGAACATCTTGGAATTTCTTATGTATAGCTTTGTGTATATTCATCTTGATTTATTTATAAAATGCAGACAATTAAGAAGTAGATATTGGATCATAAGAAATAAATTTTGATTTTTTTTTTCAGTTAGTAATCCATGTTGGAGTAAGTTCTATGGCCTCAGAATTAACGCTGGAACAGAAGGCTCATAATGATGGTTATTGTAGAGAGGATGTGAAAGGAACATTTCCACTGACAGAATGTTGTGTAGAAGGGGGAGATAACTGTATAGTTTCTGGTATTGATATGAAACATGTTTGTGAAGCCGTCAATAATTTACCATTAAAAATAAAATCTATAGTATCACACGATGCAGGAAGGTGAGACAATACTTTTGATTTATTAATCTATGAACCAGTGGAGATGTTTGTACTCATTCAGGGATATGAATTGGAACGTGACTACAAGTAGCTTATTGTGTTTTGTGGTACTCATAATGCCTGATTCTGGGAGACCCGCTTGACAATTCTTTGGCCCCTATCAGCCCCTGCACCTGTGGACAAAAGCCAGACTATATTGTATTATACAATATTATTTTTGTATATTTCAGGTATCTGTGTGATTTTTCCTACTACAGATCGTTACATATCGACCAATCGAAAGCAGCCTTTATACACGTTCCTCCATTGAATACGCCCTACACCGCCAGTGAAATAGCTGAAGGGTTAAAGGCTGTCATACTATGTATTTTAAAACGTGAACATCCATCTTGATGGGACCAAATTTTAAAACTTTTATTCTAAGTATATATTTAAAACCAATTAATGATATCTATTTTAGGAGAACCCACATATCTTATAATGAATGATATTAATATTTTTTGACTGTGCATCCTGTACTCAAAGCTTATACTGATTTTATGTATTCGCTTAAGGAATGAATGTGGATCTTGTTATCGTTATGATGAAATAAACGCTATCATGTGACAAGATAAATGACAAGTTTACGTCTCGTCACATGATAAACCAGTGTTTATTTCCCCATAACAATAACAAGATCCACATTCATACCTTATATTTACATTGGCCTGTCAATCATAAAGTGGGCGTGTCATAAGGTTTTCAGCGTTTATTGGGTCATAATGATATCAAGATACAGATTTCAGCGTTTATTGGGTCATAATGATATCAGGATACAGATTTCAGCGTTTATTGGGTCATAATGATATCACGTATGGTTAGGTATATTGAAGAACATTAGTTCTATAAATATGTTCTTCATAACCTACAGATTATTTTGATTGGTTCCTTTCACAGATCTCTGTTGTCTCTAGTTTATTTTTGCACATGGATTAAATATTTGAATATTGTACATTACTCTTCACACAAACTAAGACCAAGGGACACTACTACTGTGTTAGTTTATTACAGACCAATATTAATTGTTATGAGCATAGATCTCACTACGCAAATAATGCCCAATTACTGCTTTTTTGATAAAGCGTAGCATTTCTTTCAAATGGTTACATTGTTGATATTGTGATTTAAGAAATAAATAAATATCTTTTGCTATATTTTCTTATCTTCTTGGTATGTAGTGGAAATATGAATACCATTGTGATTATAACTTCCACCGTGGCAACTCCATTTTGAGTACAATTATTCCAATAATCTGCATAGTGTGATCATTAGGGCTTATAATCAACATGAAGTAATGAAGCTGATTATTTTGTGATAACCACATGTTGATTACAACCCCTACTGTGATTATCCATGTTGATTACAACCCCTACTGTGATTATTCCATGTTGATTACAACCCTGACTGTGATTACCTCATGTTGATTACAACCCCTACTGTGATTACTCCATGTTGATTACAACCCCTACTGTGATTACTCAATGTTGATTACAACCCTTACTGTGATTACTTCATGTTTATTACAACCCCTACTGTGATTACTCCATGTTGATTACAACCCTTACTGTGATTACCTCATGTTGATTACAACCTCTACTGTGATTACTTCATGTTTATTACAACCCCTACTGTGATTACTCCATGTTGATTACAACCCCTACTGTTATTAGTTCATGTTGATTACAACCCCTACTGTGATTACTCCATGTTGATTACAACCACTACTGTGATTACTTCATGTTGATTACAACCCCTACTGCGATTAAAACCCCTACTGTGATTATCCATGTTTATTACAACCCCTACTGTGATTACCTCATGTTGATTACAGCCCCTACTGTGATTACTTCATGTTGATTACAACCCCTACAGTGATTACCTCATGTTGATTACAACCCCTACTGTGATTACTCCATGTTGATTACAGCCCTTACTGTGATTACTTCATGTTGATTACAGCCCCTACTGTGATTACTTCATGTTGATTACATCCCCTACTGTGATTACTCCATGTTGATTACAACCCCTACTGTAATTACTCCATGTTGATTACAACCCCTACTGTGATTACTCCATGTTGATTACAACCCCTACTGTAATTACTCCATGTTGATTACAACCCCTACTGTGATTACTCCATGTTGATTACAACCCCTACTGTGATTACAACCCCTACTGTGACTACTCCATGTTGATTACAACCCCTACTGTGTTTACTCCATTTTGATTACACCCCCTACTGTAATTACTCCATGTTGATTACAACCCCTACTGTGATTACAACCCCTACTGTGATTACAACCCCTACCTTGATTACTTCATGTTGATTACAACCCCTACTGTGATTACAACCCCTACTGTGATTACAACCCCTACTGTGACTACTCCGTGTTGATTACAACCCCTACTGTGATTACTCCATGTTGATTACAAGCCCTACTGTGATTACTACATGTTGATTACAACCCCTACTGTAATTACTACATGTTGAAT